TTTTTTTAACAGCCAAAGCAAGATTTGGGATAATTTGCTGCTTTGCAGCTCGTGGAACTCACAGGAGAAATAAAACCCTGTGAGTTTATTTCTCACAGGAGAAATAAAAACCCTGTGAGTTTATTTCTCACAGGAGAAATAAAACCCCCCCTGATTTACTGGGGTAAACAAGGAGCCAAACCCTGGAACAGAATTAGATCTGAGCAACTGTGGCCACTCGTCACCTGCTCCACACCCAGATGAAAAATCACCCTCAAAAACCCCATTTATTATCAGGGTTTGCCATTTGCTCAGCAGCTTTGGGGGCAGCTCGTTTCCTTGAAAGCCTTAAATGTATTTTTAGGCAGTTGGGATTGTTAATTTTTGATTGGGAGGTACTGAGTGATCCTCTCCTTTTCCCCTGGAAGGTGAGAGGGACTCCAGGATCCCCCAGGCTGCAGGTCAGGCTTGTTCCTCCCTTTTTTCCCCCCAGGATTGGGTGGTGATTACAGGAGGATTCACATTCACAAAGGTGTGAAACGAGGAAGAAAAGAGAGTTATTATAATGATTTAGCCCTGTTCACGTTTTTTGGTTAGTCCTGTTTATTGCTGTTATCATTGTTATTAATTATTATTTTGGCTGTTAAGCAAAATTAAGCAGTTAATTCGATTTTGGTTCATCTCACCTTCCGTTTAATGTCTGTAAACTGAGAAAACATGAGGGACCAGTAGAAGGCCAGCTCCAAGATATAGTAATAATAAAGCCTGGATGTTAGAGGCTGCAACACAGAGCACAGTTAGAAGGCAAAACACACCTTAAAATTTACATTAAAATCACTTTTTTTTTCCCCCCCTTCCTCCTCTCCCATCCCACTCCAGAACTGCTGAGGCACAAGTTAAATGATTAAAGGTTTAGTGACAACAAGCTTTAAGCAACAGAAGGTCTCACTCCAGGCTTTACTCACACAACCCTATTTGTGTGTTGGAGCTTTATTCCAAAGGAGTAAATTCCCTTGTCAATATTTACAACCCCTGGGGCAGGAACAGACTGGTTGGCCTCTACACAGCAAATAAATAAATTACCACCACGATTTTATCCCTTTTTTCCCCTTCCTCCTCCCCCCCCCCCCCACTTTTAATAATCTCAGCAGCAAATAAACATCAAATGAATGAGTCAGTTGTGTCTGAGGAAACTCTGCTGCTGCCAAAACCTAACTAGGATGTAAAGACAGAAATGTCAGGGCTTTGGTCCAGCACATTAACGAAAAATAAAACCTGACACTGTCCAAAAAAGGTGGAATTTAGGAAGGGTTTCCTACCTGGAAAGGGTAGTTGTACCAGCACTGTCGTGTGTCCCAAAACCAGGGGGCCTGAAGGGAAAGGGAAGTTATTATAGAAATAATTTCTATATAAATTATATATAAATTATATAAAACTCCCAGTTTTTAACTCCCCATCACCTAAAGAAATTTTATCTCACTGAAATTTTATCTTGATTTTGCTGTTTACATTTGTTGTATTCAATGCAATTTAATTTATTGTATTGAATATCTATTCTTATTAAGCTGCATTTATTGCATTAAAACCTTCTTAAATGGGAGTTATACTGCAATGGAAATTCCAGGAATAATCATACAGCTCTAATAATGATAATAAAGACCCAAAGAGATGAACCTGTGTCCCTTCAAGAAGGAGAGGGGAAAAAAAGAAAAAAACCCCCCTAAAAATTTTGGCAGGACAGACCCAAACCCAGCTGCAGCCACGGAGAAAACAGACCAAACTCACCGTCCAGAGAAACCTGATTCCATAAAAAAATATACTTAAATAAAATGTAAATCTCCACCTGGAAAAAAAAAAAAAAAAAGAAGTGGAAAAATCAGCTTAGGACAGAGAAGTAGCTTCTGGGTTAACAATTATCACAAAAAAAAGCGAACTAATGGTGAAAAAACCCCAATTCTGGCACCTCAAAAGCTTTCACTCACCTTCATTCCTGAACATTTCAGGTCAGATAAACCCATTGAGGAGTTTTTCACACCACACACGAGTTTGCATCAACAGCCCAGTCTGAAGTTCAGGGTGAACATGCACCATTCGTGTGCTTTTATAGGCAGCAAGATAACAACAAGCAAAGTCATTGTTACCCAGAGTGACCCTAATACAGAGATATTTTTGCCCCTCTTACCTGGTGGCTTTAAGCAGGTAAAAAACCACACTGGGAGGGGGGGGGAAGAATTAAGGAGAAGAAAGTTACTGGAAAGAAACCAGCAGAGGAGAAATGAGGCAGGAAAAAGTAATTCAGGTGCTGCTCCACCAGCAGAGGTGAAATGAGTCTGGAAAAAGTAATTCAGGTGCTGCTCCAGCAGCAGAGGTGAAATGAGTCTGGAAAAAGTGATTTAGGTGCTGCTCCAGCAGCAGAGGTGAAATGAGTCTGGAAAAAGTGATTTAGGTGCTGCTCCAGCAGCAGAGGTGAGTGCAGGAGCTCAGGGAGGGAGAGAGAACAAAGGATGAGGAGAAGAGGAAGCCAAGAAGTGGCTGCAACAGAGTCTGCACATTGTGTGAGCCAGAAGGTCACCGTGGCTGGGAACAAACCCTGCAGCTGGGCAGGCAGCAGGCCACTTTTGGGGAGGTTTCCACTCAGTTTGGGCACTTGCAAACCCCCCCTGGGCACAGCCAGGGGCCATCAAGGACCTGCCCCACTGCCTGAAGCTGCTCTTTGGTGCCAGGACCGAGCCCTGTGCTCGTGTTCTGGTCCCTCAGCCCCCCAATATTTGAGGATCTGAGGATTTCAGGAAGCCCTTCCTTTGCTTGGGGGAGAATTTAGGGCCTGGTTTGGACAAGCAGCTGCCCCAGGGGTTGGTTAGAGAGGAGGAGCCCCTCCCAGACGTACATGCTCTCACAGAACTTGGTGAGGGTGGTGGGTTTGTCCTGGTTCCTCCGGTGCCGGAACCAGCGCTGGATCTTCCTCACGTCCCAGTCCAGCTGCTTGGACAGGCCTTCCAACCTCTTTGCATCTGGAGACTGAAGGAGAACCAAACAAGGGGGTCACTTCTCCCACTCCCCCCAGCAGAAGTGATGCACAGGTAGCAAAAAAACCACCCCAGGGATGGACTAAAAGAGAGCCCAAAAGCAGGAACCCGTCGCCACAAACGTTCACTCGGGTTTAACCTCCATAAGCCACTAATTACTTAATTATTCAGCTTTGGTGGGACATTTCCTCACCTATATTTCATCAGCTGACCAAGGATGCCTTAATTTTGGGGGAGGGAGGAGCTGTTAAAGTGTCCTGTCCTACCTGTTAAAGCTGCACCTCCACTCAAACAGCCCAGAACTCGGGGAGCTCAAAGCTGAAGGAGAAGTTTAAGGGGTTCCCACTCACAGCAAGGACAGGGAAGCTTTAAAAGTAAGAGCTGGTTTAGCACAGCAGATGTCTGTATGTTCTAAAGGGCACGGGTAGAAATTGTGTTATTTCTGCTATCAAAGTTTATAAACGGAAATAAATCCGAAGACCGAAATAGTTCTGTGATAAAGAACACGTCGCTGCTCTCTGGCTGGAAACTCTCCTGGGAGTTTGTCTGAATGAAGACAAATGGATTTATCAGAGACAAAGTGAACCAAACCTGGCAACTCCCTCTCCAGTGGCCCAGGGGGGGAGATAATTCAGAGCAGTGTCCTTTTAACGAGCTCTGCCAGGGAGCTCTTACCCCTGACAGATGATAAACACATTTCACTGCTTGAGTTGCACACACACAAACCCCAAAATCAGGGTGCTGATTTAACACACAGTCCCCAGCCTGCCCAGCTGAGAGGCAAAGTCATCTGTAATTTGATTTTCTGTGCCCTGTCAGCCCCTCACAACCAGACCCCTCAGCACCTTACTGGGATTTAATGGTGGGGGCTGGCACTGCACTGGAAGGGAACTTGTCCCCAAGGAGGATTCCAGAGCAGCAGAGAAACCCTCTCCCTGCTCCAGTGCCACCTCTCCAGCCCCAGCAGCAGCCACAGCTCCCTGGGACAGTCCCAGGCAGCTCTGGTTTCACAGCAGATAAATTCTGCACAGCCTGTGACCTCCTGGGCTTTCCAAACATTCATTTCAAGGACACCCCCTGCATTAAAGTCCTCCCCACAGCCAGCAGCAGATCCTGGGGACTGCAAACCTCTCAGGACTTTAAATGTTCCCACAGGAGGACTTTTTAGTGAGTTGTTTTTTTTTTTATAGAATTCCCCTTTATCTGCTCCAGGAGATGAGGTTCAGCATCCCCAAATCTCAACATCAAACCTTCCAACTCCTTTATCTGTAAAATGAAAAATCTCTCTCTGGCTGCCTGCAGGGATTTCACTGTCAATATTGAGTAAAACACTCAGTAAATAAATATTGAATAAAGCTCTGGAGCCATGGAGCCCTGAGAGCTTAAGGGGAAAGAAAGGAAACAATCCCAAGAAACACCTCCTGCCACCATTAAATGTCCTGCCCTCCATCTGACTGAACATTTCCCTGAACAACCCACTTGCACTGACAGCTGCTGCCCAATTCCACAGTGAATGGCACAAATAAGGGGAAGGCACTCACAACAAACCCCAATAAAACCAGCAAAGGGACAAAGTCCAAGGGAAAGAGAAGCTCTTTCCCAGCAGAAGATGCTGGGAAATCTCTCGTTAAACTCCTGCCACAGGAGTCACAACCTGGACCAAAGGCAGGGACTGAAGGACCTGCCTGCAAAAGGGGAACATTTTTATTCCAAAAGCAGATTTTCCTGTGCAGAAAACCACGGCTCAGCCACGAAGGGAATCCACTTTGCTCCCACCTGGACACACCAGAGGCAAAGCAAAGGCAGGAGGAGCCCACTGGGGAGTGCACAGGGGGAGATGTTTCCCTCCCACCACAGGAGTGGGAGCAAAAAAGCCTCCCCCTTCCCCAAATCCTCCCCTGCAGGCCTCCATTCCCAGCAGGATTTGACCCCCTGACTCACCTTGGTGATGGATGTAAACACTTTCTCTAGGATTGCATTGGGCTGGGCTCTGTGAGGTCCACTGTCCTGGATGCCAAGGTTTATGGCACAGGGCTTGGCAATAAACCTGCAAGAGTTCCCAGGGAAAGAGCTGCATTAAAAAAACAGGAGTTTTATTTCCCCTCCTCTGCCTGAATCACAAAAAAAACCCCCCCCAGATTTGCCACCAGCTGCAGAACTTTGGGGAACCTCCCCCTCCTGGAACCTCCACTTGCTTTGCTTCAAGAAACTTCCCATGCGAAGTAATTCCTTTTCTCAGTCCTGCTGGTGATCACAGGCAGCACATTCTGTGCACATCAGAGGGAAGAATTAAAATCTCAGTGGCCTTGGCTTGCAAGGATCCCATTGTGTTCCCCAGGGGGACCCTCATTCCTCAGAACTCAAACACCAGATCACTGGGAAGAGTCTGCTGCGAGCAGAAATGCTGCAGATGAAGCCCTAAAACCAAAAAATACCTTATTTTCAAAGCAGGCCTCGGTGTCACACAGCTCAGGAAAAAAAAGGGAAGTTCAAGCAAGACAGTTCCCAAAAGATGCTTTTTTTTGGTGTGGTTTTTTTTTTGTCTTTGGGGAGAATAAAGTGGCTCCTTTCCTTCAGGAGAGGGAGGAAGATGCAAGTCCCCCCAGCCTGAAAGACTCCAGGTGTCAGGATCTCACTCCATCCCTGGTGCTCCACATATTCCAAAAGCTGATTTAACTCTCCCTGAATTTTCACAGCACAGAGACTCTGAAACCAAGCCCGGGTTTGCAACTGAACCAAACACAAACATGGTCAAAATCACCAGGTTTTGCTGCACTTTTGTGTCAAAAATGGGCTCGGGGTTCCAAGGGAAGTGCCTGTGTTACCTGATATGGGAATTGCTTCCCCTCCTGTTGGTGGCCCAGGAGCAATATTTAGTATTTTTAAATCAATTATTTTGAGAAAGAACCCCGTTGCTCACAACCTTCCTTGGACACCTCCAGGGATGGGGACTCCAAACCTCCCTGGGCAGCCCCTTCCAAGGCCTGACCATCCTTTTCCATGAGGAAATTCCTGCTGATGTCCAACCTGAACCTCCCACCCCCTACCTGGCTCCCCCCTCTCCTTGTCAGGAGAGAGAGAACGTCCCCCCTGAGCCTCCTTTTCTCCAGGCTGAGCCTCTCCAGGAGTTCTTCAGCCCCTTCCCCAGCATCCATTCCCTTCTCTGGACACTCTGACAGTCACAGCTTTTTAAAAAAAAAAATTAAAAAATAATTAAAAACCAAAAAAGGAAGGAGTGATTTCCTCCGAGCTCGGCTCCAAGGGCTCCCGGCTTCCGACCCCGACCCCCAGCCAGAAACTGTGTCCTGATCTTATGAAACACTTGGCAAGACCCCCCCAAAAATGTACAAAAATAAAGGTATAAAAAAGGCCTTTCTGCTCTGCTTTCCTCCAGGACAGCAGAGAGAAGTTCACGTGTGCAATCACGGGGTGACAAAGAGAGTTTTGGTTCATTTTCTGGGACGTGGTGCTTAAACAGCTCTGTTAAAAAAACAACAAAACAACAACACAAGCCCTTAACCTGGCCTGAAAATCCTCAGTTTGTGCCAGTTGTGCCTCCTGTCAGAGAGGAAACCTGAAAAATCCAAAAATCTGCACATTCCATAGAATAGTTGGGGTTTGAAGGGATCTCTGTGCAGCATCTACTCCAACCCCAGGCCAAGGCAGAGGTACCTAGAGCTGCTTAATTCCATTTCTTTGTTACTCAGGAGAGTCTTCCTTTGGTTTAAGAACAAGTGAAGAGGAGGGGGAATGGTTAGGAAGGCTCACAGTGACCCACACAAAGTTTGGGCTTTATTGCAGAGTGCAAAACCTGAAGCATCAAGCAAAGGAAAATCAGAAAAAAATGCAGAAATAATTCATTTTAGGACTTAAAAGATTGAAAAGGAAAAGGGAAAAAAAAAAAAAAAAAGCCAAGCAAAACTCCAAACTTTGCAGGAAACTGGCTCTGAGCAGGAGGCCTGAGGGGAAAATACAGATTGTGTCTCCAGAAATCAGGAAGGAGGGAAAAGAAAAAGCCAAGAGGAAGGCACAGGCCGTGGGTGCAGCTCAGGGCTCAGGGAGGGGGGGTGACAAAGAGCAGATCAGGAATCTCCAGGTCTCTCCAGGTGCCCAGAAAGCAGCCACTTGGAAGCAGGAGGTGGTGCCAGTCCCAGAAACGGGGAAGGAAAAGGGATGGCACGGAGGATTTCCTCACTTTTAAGGAAGTCTGACCCAGTCGTGAGGGAGCTTCTCTAATCCCTCAGTGCAAGTGCCACCTGTCCTTCCCTGGGGCTCCTGAGGGAGGAGAATTCCCCTGGGAAAAGGAAAAGAGCTCCCACTCCTGATTCCACCCATGATCCCAGAGCTTGGCAGGTGAGACACGAAGGGAATGGTCAGTCCTGTGCTCAGTCCCAAGCTAGCCAGGGATTTAGGTGCCCACCAAGGACTTCAAGCCTCTGTGGCATTTCAGGTTTTTGGCCCCAGAACAGGTTTTGCAGCAGATCCCACACTGAGAAGGTTCTGCCCAGCCAGAGTCCAGCACCAGGAGAAAAAAAAAAAAGGGGGAAAAACACTTCCCAGAGAGCAGAATTCCCACTCCTGGGGATATTCCAACTGAACAGCACAAGATGAGGAGAGACACCAGTTGCCTGAAGGTTGGCCTTGCTCTGAGGAGAAGATTTGGATGAGCTGACCTTGAAAGGTCCTTTTTTTTAATCTAAATGGTTTTATGATTCTATAAAACCTTAATGGCAGCAAACTCTGCCCAAGGCCAGCTCGCTGCCACACCTTTCCAGCAAGAGATTCCCATCACATGGACACTTCCATCACACCTTTATGGCCAGGGATCAGCTCACACTCTTTTTTCACACCAGTTGTTCAAAACAGGCTGATTTTAAAGCCACCACCAATTTTGGAGCCCAGGGACTCGGGTGTTGTGTAACAAACAGTTCTCATGCACCTTGTGCTTCACAAAAAGGCAGAAGTTCTACCCCAAAAATCCTCCCTGCCACCGAGTCAGGGCTTCACCTTTTTCTCTCCCCAGTCCTGCTTTATCTCTGCAGTCACAAGCTGCCCACAGGCAGCCAAAGTAATGATTATTTCACCAATAAAACGGTGCAAAGGTTCATTTACAGGAGAATTCACAAGTGTTGTGGTACAAAGCTCTTCCTCACACTGAGGAGCCACAGCAGAAGGAGGGAGAGAAGATGCAGCTAAACCAAAAAGAGCTGCACGAGCCTATAATTCAAATTCTGAGTCATCAAGTCCAGCTGCCAAACGTGTGTCAGGGAAGACGTTTGACACAATCAAAGCCTGAACTGGGATCGATGCACCACAGGGGTTTATTCAGACCAAGCTGAGCTTTTATGACAGGAGGGAACAAAGAGGGAGTTTATTCAAAAATAAGGACTTTTAAAACAGACACCCTGGGAACTGCCCCGGGATTTTGCTGCCACAGTGTGATTTCACTCTGGGATACCCCTGAGACACTGCTGAGAACGGGAACAACTCTCTCAGGAGCCAGACCAAGGGCTCTGGGCCTCGCTGGGCAAGAGCAGGGTTTTAATTTGGCACCTGACCCCTCCCTAAATCAGCACCAAAACCGGAATTTCACAAACCAGGGAGGGCTTTATCAGGGTAGAGCAGTGGCTACCTGGTGTGGAAGGATGCACTGAACCTCTGCCAGGGAGAAGAGAATCTCCTGCACCTCCTCCCCAGACTGACACCTGCACTGAGGCTTGGAAAGGAGGGGACCTGCCCACAAATCCCCTCTCCAGGGGGATTGTTGTGTCCCACAACCACCTCCCTGTTGTGTCTCACAACCTCCTCGTCTCCTGGCGAGTCCCAACCCTCGGCCAGGCCGGGCAGCAGCAGCACACCGAGCCGAGAGGAGATTTTGGCAGCTCCTGGGTCCTCTGCACTGCTTTTCTGAAGCCTTTTTTTTTTTTTTTTCTTTCCCCTAAGGGCAGAAAGATAAGCAGGAGAAAGGAAGAGCCTCTCCGGTTTCTCTCCAGCTTTTTTTCTCCTTATTTTCTCCTTTTTTTTCCTCCTTATTTGCCATCTTTTCACTTCGCCCCAACCAACCTCCTCCCTTCCGACAGCTCAGGGAAATTCACACTTAAGACAGAGAACACACAGATCAAAAACCAACCCGATTCCCACTCATTTCAGTCCCGCACGGCCCCTTTTCACGCTTAGAAATATTTACAGAACCACCGGATGGGCTGGAAGGGACTTTAATTAAAGAATTCCACGGGCAGGGCACACCTTCCCCCATCCCATCCCGACCGACCACCCGCCGTCCAAACGCAGAAATTTACGATTAAATCAATGTTTAACGAACCGCTTCGCCTAACGGGCTTTCCTAATTAAGCCGCTTTGCTAATTAGCGGCTCTGTCACCCACGCGCGGCTCGTGAGGGATCCCCGGCGCGGCTCCAGCCCTGCCCCGGGGGGGTGTGTGTGAGTTAATCCCGTGTTTGTGGATGCTCGGGCGGACGGGGAATCCCGAATTACACCTGTCCGCGGGCAGATAAGGCGGATCCAGCGCGCCCCGAGGTGCGGGAGAGCCGCGAATTGTTTAATAACACGGCCGGGGCCATGCGGTGAACGAGCCCCGTTTCCTCCTCCGGGAGCTCGGGGGAAAAGCGCGATGATAAAAAAAAAACCCACAAGGAAGCTCGGCCCCGTCAGCCGCCCCCCGGGCAGGGGGAATGAAAGCGAATAAAAGCGAATAAAAGCGAATCGCCCCACGAAACGCGGTGTTTTTCCCCGCGCTGCCCCAGCACCGGAGGGGCCCCTCAGACCCCGCTCCCACAGCAGCCCCCGGGGCTCCTCCGTGTCGCGACAGAGCCGAGCGGCGCGACAGCTCGCCGGGGTCACCCGCCGTCCCTTTTCCACT